TAAAATAAACAGGAAGGCAAGCAAGTAACTTTTTTATATCTAAAGAGATCTAAAAAAATCTAAAAACTATTTAAAAAAATGGATAAATATATCAATGTTGAAGGAATTATATTGCCAAATGTACCCTTAACAAACTTTCAGTTAATAAAAGCAGCAAAAAAATTAAAAATTAAAAATTTTGAGGTGTATTTGTAAGAGATGAATTACCTAAAAATACACAAAACAAAGAATGTGGAATATTAAATACTGGAGATTCAAGTACGAATGGATTTCATTGGATTTGTTGGTATAAAGATGGAGATGAAAAATTAAGTTTTGACTCTTATGCATTACCACCTCCAGTTGAACTTGTTCAATATTTACACAGTCCTATTTATTATAATAGTAAAAGAATTCAGTTTGGAGACACTTCTTTTTGCGGACACTTGTGCCTTTATGTATTAAAAAAATTGAAGGTGTTGACTTTCAAAGTATTGAAAATTCATTATATTGAATTAAAAAAAATATATATAGTATATAAAAAATGAGTATGAATATAGCTGGTAGTAATTCAATGTATGGTTACACAACAGACGGATTAAGTATCAACATTAATGTTGGCAATACAGCCACTACTGATGTTGATCTACAAAACATAAATTGATCAATGTAGCTGATCCTACAGATGCACAAGATGCAGCTACAAAGAATTATGTAGATAATAATCAAACTTCTAGCAGTGCATGTCTAAAACTAGATGGAACTAATAGTATGAGTGCTAACATAAATTTGAATTCACATAAATTGATCAACGTAGCTGACCCTACTAATGCACAGGATGCAGCTACAAAGCATTATGTAGATAATAATCAGATTTCTAGCAGAATGTATCTAAGAACTGATGGTTATAATCCTGCAACTGCTAATATAAATTTAAATACAAATAAACTCATCAATGTAGCTGATCCTACTAATGCACAAGATGCTGTTACAAAGAGCTATGTTGATGATATGCAAAATCAAAGTTTAGATATCATTCCCAATACAAGTTTAATATGCTTTGGACAAAAATCTCAAGCATTCTATGCAACTCCAGGACCATATACCATTTTTAGCTATAATGGTAGTTCAGGAATTCTAAAAAAACTGTGGATTGCATTTACAGGATCTACTATTGCACCTAATACTGTACCAGGTAACTTGTTTTTAAAAATATATGCTGACAATGTACTTTGCATAGGTAATGATTCTACTATAACAGATGGTGTAGGTATTAATAATACAGCTTTAGCTTGTGATTTTTTAATTGCAACACTTGGTGGACCCTATTATGCAAACCCTTTACAAGGGTGTAATGTATTTAGTACAAGTGCATTAGGAGGATATTTTACATTTGATCTTCCTTTTACATCAAGTTTGAATATACAATTATATAATAAAACAGGAAATTCAGTGACCTTTTGGTTACAACCTTTTATCACAAGAACTTCATCGTTACAACAAACATTAACTAGTATTAATCCTCTAATACCTCGATCTATCTCATCTATAAAGTTGTACTCAACAACATTTAGATATGTAAATACAACTTATGGTAGTGAATATATGCTAATGAATGTTATGGATAATGGAAACGGAGTGTATTTGAAATACATTAGAATGCATGTTGTTGGAGGATCTGGAGACTGGTGGGAATCTAGAGTTCGCATCTATGATGAATATAGTGCTCCTACTAATACTAACTCTGTCATTCAACCTTGGACACCTTATAATAATAATGGATATACTACATTTTCTGGATATGATGTTAACAGTCGATGCATCTACGCTTCATCAGGTTTAGAAGATCTCTCTTCATGGAATGGATCTAATGTAAGCTCATTTAATAATGAGTCATCAGGATTGTTGAATCAATCAAGTAGTATAATTGGTCCAACAACTACAATTTCATTTTATAGAAACTTTAATTCATCTGAAAGTATGCCTAGCGTTGGTAGAGGTAGAAGAATGGTAGTGACACTCAACTCTGGTGATGCACAAGTTGGTCAATCTGGGAGCTATGCTGCACTGATAGGACAAAGTTTCTACTATGCATAAACACTACGATGCTTAGATCTCGAAGAGATCCAGATTTCATTAAAAAATTAAGCGCATGCGCACAGATCCGAAGGATCAATTAGCGCTTTAGCGCACAAGAAACAGCAAGAAAAGTCATATGACGTCACACCTTTTTTCGACAAGAAATAAAAAAATTAACACTTATTTAAAAAATTCAATTTTTTTCATTTTTTTAAAATTGAAAAATTTTATTTCCTATCTAAATAATTTATACACAACATGGATAACATTGAACCATATATTAATATTAATATATGGTTGAAAATATGGTTAAAAATGAAAATGAGCTAAAAATGATAATAAAAATGAGCCAGAATCGGCATTTCCTAACTCACATCAACTCTTTTCCAAAGCGAACATTTCATTACAGCAGAACTAACAACCAACATAAATGGTATTTGTCTCCTGACTTAAATATTGTAAAAATGCACTATCTGTATCTGCAAAAAACGAACCTGCTATTTACAATAGTTTGGAAAATAAACAAAATTTTATTAAGCGAATAGTTACGTATAATTATTTTTATAGTCACTTCATAACACGGTTTAACAATTCATTTGGAAAGCCTCGATCTGATACCTGCCAGACATGTGAACGATTGGATAAACTTATTGCAGCAGAAGAAGTCGTTAAGGTTAAAAAGGTATTGGGTTATTCAAAACCTAGATTAATTTTTTCCCAAGAGCAAGAAAGCGCCTTAAAAAATTATTTATTGCAAATGGCATCTATATTTTACGGCTATTCTCCTAAAGATGTTCGATCTCTTGCTTTTGAGTATGCTCTTCAATAAAAAATCAAAATACCAGATTCTTGGACAGTAAATAAGATGGCTGGTAAAGAATGGATGACTATTTTTTTTAAAAAAATCTTCAATTATCTATAAGGAAACCTGAATCAACTAGCCTTGGTAGAGCAACATAATTTAACGCTGCAATTGTAAAAGTATTTTTTGATAAGCTTGATGAAGTTATGTATATATACAAATTCGGTGCTTCACAAATATGGAACGTTGACGAAACCGGTTTATCTACAGTTGTAAAATCTAATAAAATTGTGGCTGCAAAGAGCAAGAGAAATGTTTGTACTATGATATCTGGGGAAAAAGACACTAATGCCACAACGGTAACCGCTGTATCTATTACAAAGATTATTTTGTTAATGGTCCACCGGACTGTATTGGGGTAGGTAATGGAAGTGGCTGGGTTACAGATATTCAATTCAAAAATTTGATGCAGCATTTGATTAGGCATGTGAAGCCTTCAAAAAATATAAAATTCTGTTGATTTTGGACAATCACTCTTCTCACTTACATTTTGAAACACGAAACTTAGCAAAGGAGAATGGAATAGTCATGTTGTCTTTTCCACCACAATGCAGCCATAAGCGACAGCCACTAGATGAATCAGTGTTTGGACCTTTTAAAAAGTACCAATCAGTTGCACAAGATGCATGGCCGAGAAACAATCTGAAATACCAAAAATTGTATTTGATTCATTGCCATTAGCTATAACATGTACTAACATTACAAAGGGTTTTCAAAAAACTAGTGTATACCTGTAGAATGCAAACATTTTTGCTGCTGATGATTTTTTACCTACATTTTTCACAGATCATATAGAACTAGCAAATCTTGTTTCTGAGTTATCACACGTAACTCATTCTGAAGTATGTTTAACGTCATCTTCAGGTCAATCTCTCAAAAGTAGTATTAATAAAGAGACAACGTTACTTATTCCTGAAACTCCTAAAGCATTTTCTCCAGAAACTGTTCGACTTTACCCAAAAGCAGCACCAAGAAAAATACATTTGACAAGACAATGAAAAAGGAAAGCTTCTATTCTAACAGATACTCCAGAAAGAATTATATTAAAACAGCAGCAAACTAAGAAACCTAAAAAAAGTTGAGAAACAAAAAAAATTATCTACTTGTCAAATCTTTTCAAATATTAATAAAGAGTGTGGTAATAAAGAGACATAGTATATTTAAAAAAGTTAAGAAACAAACAAACAAAAAAACTGAGAAGAAACTTTAAAAAAACCAAAAAAAAGTTCTGCTAGTCAATCCTTTGTAGATCATAGTAATAAGGAGACTCTGCTGCTTAGTATATTAAAAAAAGTTAAAAAACAATCAAACAAAAAAACTAAGATAACAAAAAAATTAAAGACAAGTACACGATTATGCTTGTCTTGTATGTTGGGAAACTTATTCTGAAAGTCTACCGGAAGAAAATTGGATCTTGTGTCAAGCTTGCAATCAATGGTCTTATTTAAAATGTGATTGACATTCTCGTCAAAATTATATTTGTATTAACTGCAAAATGGAAATTGAAGACTAACATAAAGTGTTTAGTTATTAATTTATCATAATATTAACAAATTTTATTTTAAAATGTTTTTAAAAAGTTGTGTTTAGTTTTAAGATTGTAAAGTTTTGTTTTTGTTTTATTTTAGTATCAAAATTATTAGTTTTGATATTCATATCTTAAATAATTTGTTAAAATTGAATGTATATATTTAATTTATAAGGAAGCTATGTTTTGGTTTATAACAGAATTAACAGTTGTCACAGCAGTTGTCAATGCATTTATTTTTTTATTGTTCAACTTACCCCATGCAATTGCTCAACTTACTCCGCTGGGGTAGGTTGAGCAGCCTAATTAACTTTAGACGAAATTTTCTAAAACAAATCGAAAAAGGTTTTTTTGGTCTCAACCATTTTTTAGCAGATCAAATTATCTTTCTAATAGTGAAAAAATTAAGTTAATCCGATGTACCGTTCAAGAGATCTGTTAGATTTAGTAAAAAGTGCCCAACCAGCCCCGCCCTACCCTAATAAATCCAAGTAGTATATATTAGACGCAAACCAAAGTAGACTTAAAGTATTTTACAAAAAACCAACTAAATTAAAAAAAGATAATAGTTATATTCACAATCCTTTTAAAACACTTCCAATCTGCTCAACAATCTTGTAAAAAAGTAATCCAATTAAAAAATAATAATAGAAATTTTAAAATATTTAAAAGAATATAAAAAAAATATCGACGAAATATCAACAAAAAGAAATAAAAAAACACGTATGAAATCAAAAGAAGTTAGCCAACTAAGTAATTTCGCATTGTATGAAAATCGGAACTAACTACAATAAATGATTACGCAACCTAAAAGTTAGTTTTTTTGCTTTATATGACAATTTTTGTTTTTACAAGTAAAAAATTATATTTTCTATACAAAAAATGACAATAAATAGCAACGAAGCTCAACCAAATAGTTTAACAAAACAACCGTGGCAATAAGGTTTATCATTTTGTTCTTTAAATGTACCCTTGTTTAATTGCTTCAAACAAAACGCACAAATAAAATGCTCAGGATGAAACTTGCGGTGCATGGCTGTGATGCAACGTCCAGTAATAGGTTTTTGACAACTATAGCACAAAGAACCTCTGCGGGCATGATAATGCATCTCGCAATATGGCATACCTTCATGCTCAAAAAAACTACCACCTTGAAAAGGTTGATGACACTCCTAAAAAAAAAGATGATTATCATTACGTGAAATCTTTTTTTACAAAAAACTGGAAACAATTTTATCCAACAATATTTTGGGCCTATTCATTATATCATGGAGTAAATCTGAACCACAAAGTAATTATAGTACATTGACAGATATATATACATATATATATATATATATATATATATATATATATATATATATATATATATATATATATATATATATATATATATATATATATATATATATATATATATATATATATATATATACATATATATACATATTACTGAAATTATATTAGGAAAATACTGAAAAGGTATTAGATATTATACGCAACTGTAATAGAAGAAGTAAAAGGCCAGTGGAAATATTTTACTGTCTGTTATATTGTGAAATAGCCGTTGTCACCGTACATTGCAAGCTATGGTGTATGTTTTTAAAAAGACAAATATAAACAATTATCTGAGTGGCAGCGAGTCAGATAAACAGATAATATATAAGATGTGTCATCAGATAAAAACGAACACATAATTTATTACCTTTAAGGTTTAAAGAACTCTAAATTTTTTCTATAAAGCTTTAAATAAATATAACAACTTATAAGAATAACGACCTCATAAATTGAAGTAGTTCGACTACTTATTTACTTCAATGTATAGTATTTAACTTACATTGAAGTACGCAGTTCCTTCTTATAATGCGTCATTTATGTCAAATACTAACAAAAGTCATTTAAACTTCTGGTATATTTAACAAAATACTGTAGTAAATAAAATATAAAAAATAGAACTTTCAATATTATACAGTGTGAAAGTTAACAAACTGCTTCTCTCAGTAGATGCAACACATTTAATTTTCTGCCGACTGTAACTTATTTATATTTGCATAATGTTTGATATTAAATAAACATTTTATACTCACATTCAACAAGGCTATCAAATGTTAAAAATATCTTGGACAAATTTTGGATGATATTTCTATTCCATGTTTATTAGAAAAAAAACATATCATTGGAAGTTGAAGGTTAGTTATAAAAGCATAAAACATACATCTCCAAAATATTTAAATTTTTTATCTAAGTAGCCTAAAACCAATTGTTGAGATTATAAACTTAAGTTTCAATATTGTTGAGATTATAAACTTAAGTTTCAATATTAGTAAGATTATAAACTTAAGTTTCGAAACTAAAGCAACCAGTTCAAAGCATTCAAGTTAAAGCTGCTGGCGTAAATTGGATTAACTAGCCAGTAAAATAAATCCTGGTAAAAAAATTTAACCCAAATTAATTATTCTATATCATAACAAAATTGCTCTGGGAGTTGAAAATATAAAACAAAACACCGTTATATTTTTTAAAACTTGTGATAAGGCAATATTTTATTGTAAATAAAAATGACAATAAAAAAAAAAGTTATAACACCTCCCAGACATATTCTAGATATACATATATAAAATACTAAAAATAAAATAAACAAAAAAAAAACTCATACCATACAGACAAAGCAATGGGGATGCCAATGACCGTTTAGAGCAGATATGTAGTTATCTATAATAGCTTTGTTGCATCCTGAACATTTAGGAGCAAACATTTTAAAGTAGTCTTCCCTACAATATGCTTTTCCATCTTTTTCATGAAATCCAGAGTCTCCAAAAGGTAAATTACATTCAAAACAAACAAAGTGTTCAGGGTGCCAGGTGTGATCCATAGATGTGACACATGACTGAAAATAAATTTTAAAATAATTTTTTTGTTAATACAAATTTATCAAAAAGACTTAATTCTGTTTCTTTTTGAACAACACGATCTTCATGAACTAACCATTATGATAACAACTTTACATATTATATTCTATGATATTTCAAAACTAAAACAAGAAAATAGTTTAAAAAGTAATAAAATAACTTAGGAAACTCACATCAAGTATAGGTCCTTGACATGCAAAACACTTGGGAGCAAACTGTTCATGATAGTCTTCTTCACAAAATGGTTTGCCATCTCTCTCAAAGAATGTTTGTGTACCTAAAGGAGTATCACAAACATAACAGGTGAAGTGCTCAGGATGCCATGTTTTGCCTAATGCAGTGCATACTTGTCCAATGATTGGCTTATCACAAGCACCACATATTCCTTTTGTAACTGTTGTAACTCCTTGTTTTGACATGTTTGACTGGAGGCTACCCAACATTGAATCAAGGTTGTTAGCTTGTTGCTGGCTTGGAATGGGAACAGCTAAAAAAAATAATTAAAAAAAATATTTATGTAGAAACATCTTATGTAGAAACTTAAGCAAGCGCCATTTGTTGTTACTATGCTAAATATAGCTTTTTTTTAGAGGTATAGAACTTAAAGTTAACGACACATTTTTAACTGACAGCCATTTTGTCAGCTGTTAAGTGATTTATGTTCAGTTTAGTTTAACATTTCATCATGAATAGACTGATACCTGAACAACGCTTCCAAAATATGCAAATTTGTTATGAAAATCATGGTACTGTTTAAAATACGAATAGCGCACTGCACCCATTTTACGGTCAATATAATCGTCCTTCAGAGCAATTAATTGGATTACTTATGAAACGTTATCGCACCAACTTTACTTTAAATAATAATATACATCCACATATTGGACATTTAGTACAGAAGAAATCATTGCTGCTGCAAAGCATAATGTAAAGGAAAACTTGAATTAGTCTATTGCCATTGTGCACAGGAACTAAATATACGACCATCCACTTTATGAAAGATATTTTGGAAAGATCTTAATTTGCATAATTACAATGTCTAACTTGTTCAACAATTGCAGCCGCATTATCACCTAGCAAGGTGTAGATTCAGTGAATGGGCCCAAAACAAGATTGCCATTGATTCTGATTTTCATAAGCAAACTTTGTTTAGTAATGAAGCTCACTTTTGTCTGAATGGATTTGTAAATAAACAGAACTGCTGTATTTGGAGTGATAATAATCTTCAAGTGTTTGTTAAGTTACCATTACATCCAAAAAAACTAACTATCTGGTATGCTTTATGGGCTAGTGGAATAATTGGTCTGTACTTCTGTACAGACCAATTCTGTACATCAATTCTGTACATCAATTGAACAACTATGATGTTAAGGAAATGTGGTTTCAACAAGACGGCGCAACATGTCACACAGCTTGTACCACATTTGATTTATTAAAGGAAACATTTGGTGATCGCATAGCTTCACATTATGAACTTGTAAACTGGCTTCCAATATGGTTCAATGATGCCAGACTATTTTCTTGGAGATATGTGAAGTCGCTAATCTACGCCAATAAGCCTAAGACGATTGACCAATTGGAGGACAACATTTGCTGTGTTATTGGCAATATATGCCCACAAATGTTGGAAAAAGTCATTGAAAATTGAACCACCAGATTAGACTACATCCGAGCCAGCTGTGGCAGTCATATGCTGGAAGTCATATTTAAATTATAATGCCAGATTATCTTTCGAATAAAGTAATTTTCATGTAAATTTAAAAAAATCATCTTTGTTTTATTTAATTTCAAAGTTCTATACCCCTAAAAAAATTCCCTATTGCAATAAAACACTGAAATACAAATACTATTAAGTACAGTATTGATAAATAAAAATCTGTTTGGAATTAAATGGGATTTAGACAAGGTGACTGCAATTGGGACTGGGTAAGTAAGTAAAATGATTTTTAAGTTCAAATCCTAAAATTGCTGTAGTGATTAGTAATTAGGACTAACATTTAACTAAAGTCGTGTTTGGTAAAACAAAGATGAGGCAAAGGTTAGGCAATGTCTGAAGCTGTATATATATTAAAAATCCTATAAATAATTTTTCTTGAACTAAAATATACACATATATTTGCACAACATATACTTACATATTATATATTGCACATAACTTTTTCTTTAAATGGAGGTAAGAGAAACTAATTAATAGTTTTTTTGAATGGTGTAATGATCAATTATATATATATATATATATATATATGTGCAAAATAATAAAATAACACTAGGTTTAAAATTTTTTTGAATAAAAAAAATTTTAAGGGGTCCCCCAATACATTTGAATTTTTAACAAGTCCCTAATATTAAAAAAAAAAAGTTTTTCAAAAATAGGTCAACCTGGTACTCATATGAAGCGGAATTATATAAAAATTTCAAAAATAATATTTTGAGCAAAAACTATTTATCAAAATTTTATGAAAAAAACTTTAACAAATGCACTTTTTTCATTATTTGTTAAAAAATGTTATTTTTTATGCAATAAAACCTAAAATAATTATTTTTTATCAAAATAATTATTATTTTTGAAATTTTTAAATAATTTCACTTCATTTGAGTACCAGGTTGACCTACTTTTTTTTTTTTTTTTTATTAGGTACCCATTAAAAATTCAAGGGTCTTGGGGGACCCCTTAAAATATTATTTGTTAAAAAAAATTTTAAACCTAGTGTTATTTTTTTATTACTTTGCACAAATTTAGAGGTTGTGCCAGCTTTTTTGAAAAAAAAGTTGAAAAAAAACCCAACCTAATATATATATATAAATATATATATATATATATATATATATATATATATATATATATATATATATAAATATATATATATATATCTATATATATATATATATATATATATATATATATATATATATATATATATATTATATATATATATATATATATATATATATATATATATATATATATATCTATATATATATATATATATATATATATATATATATATATATATATATATATATATATATATATATATATATACACAAATATTTATTTGGAATACATTGTATAGCAAATCTTGATTCAATACTAAAAATGACCTTACATTAATCTTCTACTCATTAGGGAAGTTTTTCTTTACTCCACTTATATCTTTTGATCCTATCTGTTATCCTTAAAAGCATTTTCTGGTAGCAACATAACAATCAATATCTTTTTTATTGACACCTATAAACTGTGCTATAACTAACACTAACAAAATTAGTCTTATTTCTAAACTTTCTAAACAGTTCTTGGTAGCTGATTTTAGGATCTTTCCTTTCCTCTTTGATACAAAAAGCTTTGACACCTGAAATTAAGCTTTGACCCCTAAAAATAAGCTTTGACCCCTAAAATTAGGTTTTAAAGACCTTTTAGAATCTTGGTGTATCTTTCACGTAACTTAAAAGTTTTTAGTTTTATAGCATTGTTTGGGTATGCATAGTGAAATAACATATAATCTTGCAATTTCTCACTGACTTTTTGTGCTATTTTTGATAGAATACTTGCCATTTGATGATTTTCTGCACATTTTTCTGCTTCAATTTCCCCTCCCTTTCCCCCTTCTCTCCCCACAATTTTTTTACTAGAATCGCCTCTGAGTATATAGCATAGCTTACCAAATATCTCTTAAAATACTTGTCAGAGATGAAAAAAAAATTTTTAATTTATTTGTTATATATATTTATCAAAGCAATTACAAATTTTCAAGATTCATTAAAAAGTTATTGAATTTATATTAACTGTAATTCAGTTGCTTTAATTTATCATTGAATTATTAAAAAAGTAAAAATAGGATCAATAAGTGTTTAGAAAGTTGATTGAAAAATCATTAGAAAGATTAAGTAATTTAACAAAGTTTAAGTACTTATTATTAGAAATTTTTTTTAGAAGAAAATTAAAAAGCCATCAAAACAAAAATAAAGGTGACCTTGTATTTTTAAAAACCATTGTATAATTAAATTAAAAAAGATTTTTTTTTTACATTATGACTTTGTTATAATATATATTGTTTACATATTTTTATTATATGTATATATATATATATATATATATATATATATATATATATATATATTATATATATATATATATATATATATATATATATATATATATATATATATATATATATATATATATATATATATATATATATATATATCTATATGAATATATATACAACTATAAATGCGTGTTTAGATATGCACTGTGACATCACACTGAAATAACCTTCTGCTGGGGACATTAGTACATACATAGACTATCTTATAGCTTACTGCACAGGGGTGTCGCTGCATCGACTGATGGTTTGGGATGGAGCAACATCTTTTATTATTCTTTGTTTTTTTCTTTTTTTCTGAAAAATCTTTATGCTTGAAGGAAAGAAAAACTAGTAAGCATTTACTAAACTGTAAAGTAATGTATATATGTATATATATGGTATATATATATATATATATATATATATATATATATATATATATATATATATATATATATATATATATATATATATATATTTATATATATATATATATATATATATATATATATATATATATATATATATATATATATATATATATATCGGGTGGACACGGAAAAGTCCGGTCATCTTTAAATTGAGATTTCTCCAAAACCACAAATGCTTTTTATTTAATTTTTTTTTTTAATTAAACCTTACTTCCTTATCTTAAATGGTGTTGATAAATTTTTGTTTACAAATTAATGATTTGCAAAATGTTTTGGAAACAAGTTAAGGTACGTAAAAAAGTTGTGAATTTTTTTTGCAAAAATCCATTGACTTCCTATCGCTTGATTGCTAAACGCACAAATGTCCCAAAATCTACAGTCATAGATATTATAAACAAGTTCAAGACTACTCAAAGCTTCGAAAGAAAACTTGGAAGTGGAAGAAAAAAAACTTTCCATAAATCCAAAAAGGTAAAGTCGATTTTACGTTCAATACCAAGAAACCCAAATCAGTCACAGCGAGATCTAGCAAGAAAATTTAAGACTTCTCTTTCTTAAGGCGAATTTCCACTCATCCGTTTTTTCACGGGAACAGGATAATTAAAATAATGAAGGATAAAAATATGTGCATAATTGAAGACGACAAAACGTATTGCAAGGCAGATTTTTCACAACTTCCTGGTCAACAGTTTTACTATGAAAACAAAGATAAACCTGTCAATGGTCAATTTAAATATATTCGACAAGAAAAATTTGCATCCAAGCTCCTTGTGTGGCAAGCAATTTGTAGCTGTGGTATGCAGTCCTCTTGTTTTGTCACTAAAAAGACCTTGACTGCCAATCTCTACATCAAAGAATACCTCCAAAAGACTTTTGCCTTTTATAAAAAAACACAAATACCGATGTCTCTTTTGGTCCGATCTTGCTGCCTCTCACTATTCTAAAAAAGTTTTACAGTGGTGCAAAGATAA